AGATTGTAATTTTATAGGTCTCTCCCTGGTTTTAAACCCTATACATTGTAATTCTATGCTAATAATTCTTATTTTTACTTTACTTGATTCTATCAATATGATATTTTATACTTACTTCTATTTTAGAGTGATTGTTATTTTATGCTGGTATACGATTGCAATAAACAATACACAAATAAAATGGCAGGACAAATTCATTCAAAAACTGTATAGTGTTTTGCAGAAAGCTTTTCCCCTAGAAAATCCATGTGGAATCAGCACATTTTCTACAGTGTGGTCCACAGAGAGGTTATAAAAGCAGGTGGGAAAAATCAAACATCTTTGGCACAGACAGACTTTCAAATGGGCTACTTACAGTTAGGAAAGAACATGTCCGAAAGGACATAATGGTGGTGTTTCTACAAAGTAAGTAATCACTCCTGGTTTAAAGGAAATTACTTGTACAAAGCACATATTCCTGGTGTGAGGGAAATAAGTTCTCTTTCAGTTGTATGTTTGCATGAACCTAGATCATATATCATATCATATCATATCATATCATATCATATCATATCATATCATATCATATCATATCATATCATATCATGACTAGATTTAAACTTGCCTCTGCACAATATGTGGGCATTTTCTACCAAAGAGCAAAACTTTTACCCTGTATTCAGCTTTAACAGATCATTTCACAGAATGGAGATTCCTCACCCCCCTTCAGATTTATGTTCCTTGGTTTACTACCAGCTCTAGATAAACAATATGAAATCAACAGTCATCCGGGAAGAAATAGACGTTCTGTTCATTTTCATTCAATACGTATTAATCTCCTCAGAATTTACTTTCCTGTCCTTGGTCTTTTTCCATTGTATATTGACTCACAGGCCTGTAATTAATCTGCCTGCAGAAATGACTATTTGTTTGGCTAATAATTATTTTTAAAATCATGGGACAATCTGTGCAAAGCGCAGGTTCACTTTTCCATACAGGATGACCCAACTCCTCTGCCTCTTCAGTTTTCTCACCATTTTATCTACCTTTTGAACGTGCAACCCTCAACAGTACCTTCTCTGAGGTGAAAATCTTTCAAGGATTTGTGCTCAGTGCTCAGTGCTCAAGTGCTCAGACAAATGGAATATGTTTCCTACATGGCATGAAGGAATAGTTAAGTAGGCTCGTATCTACATAACTACAGGCAATCTATCTTCATAATAAAAACATTAGAAATATACTACAACAGGAGCCATTGTCTGGTTCAGCATTGAACAAAAACTTCTAAAAGAATTTCAAATTGTATGATAGAAGACCTCCAGAGTAAGATTGTTGGCAAATTGTTTTCTCAGCTAGTGGTTGATTGGTTTAACTAGAGGTAGACCTCGTAATTTACAAAATGTGTTTTTCAAGTGCATGGTCTGTTTCCTGCTGTGAAAATTGTTTGCTGGCATAGCTGAGGTCATTCCATATGATCTCTATAATGCCCTTCTCTCTTCTTTAAAATTATGAAGTCTGAGTGTGGATTTCTATTGAATAGAAAATCTAAGCTCAGGAGGGCCAATACCAGAATTGATTATTTTTTTAGTATGGAAGTTTAATTTGCCATGTTGTACAAATACATAATACACTTTTAAAAAAAATCAGAAAACAAGTGTTTTTTTCCCTTATAAGTGGTGTTATTTTCCATTTCACCATTGTGTGTTGGAAAGAAGGAATGGCAAGAGGAAGAAGACATTTTAGGGGAGCCTGCTCTGCTGATACACAGTTGCTTTGCAATTCAGCATTCTGCCCAATCCATGAATGATGCAAGCAGGTGGAAGGTATGCGAGAGAGGAGATTCTGGGAGCAGCTGATTATCTTCCTCTGTAGTATTATGATCAGGTGCAGGATAAGACCTGAAGGAGGGTTTAAGTCATTAGAACCGAAATGTCCAAAATGGTTAAAATGTGAAGGATGTCTGATTTCTAGACAGTATTGTTTGTTAAGAAATTGTTAGAAAGCCAGTGGGTGACTTTGGGCCAGTCCCTCTCTCTCAGCCCAATTCACCTCACAGGGTTGTTGTTGTGGGAAAAATAGGAGGAGGGAGGAGCATTAGGTATATTCACCACCTTGAGTTATTTATAAAAATAATAAAGGCAGGATAAAAAAAGAAGAGGAAAGAAAGAAAGATAACTTGTGTTCCTTCTTGGAGGGTTCTTAATGCAGACTCTAGAGTAAACCATCACTTAAAAATGAATTAACTGTTTATTTCATAACACTTTGAGATATTGCACTCTCACAGTCTTCCATTTTGTTTCCTTCCTCACTTCTTGTCTTCTGCACTCTATGATGGGACGTAGTACTACATGAAAATGATTACTAGAATCCAAATCAAGGTACTTCAAAGTCTGAAGTACACCACATATATACTATGGATTAGTACAGTGTGAGAGCCAGTTTGGTCTAGTGGTTAAAACACTGGGCTAGAAAGAGGGAGACCCTGAGTTCAAGTCCTGCCTTAGACACAAAACCAGCTGGGGTAATTTAAGGGCCAGGCACTCTGTCTTAGCCCTAGGAAGAAGAAGAAGAAGGCAAGGGCGGACCACTTCTGAAACCTTGCCAAGAAAACTGCAGGGACTTGTCTAGGCAATTGCCAGGAATCAAGACTGACTTGAAGGCATTCCCCCCCCCCAAGTACTCTATAGCAACATCCCCCCCAAATGAAAAAGAGAAACAGCTATACCCTCATGTGAAAGCAGGTGGAAAGATTCTTTGAAAATACTGAAAATTCTGCTTGTTCTGCTTGTTTATAGAACAAGGTTTCCATAGTTGAAGTTGTTGTTCCTGTGTAAGCTTGAACTAGACATTTCTCTCTTTAAAAATTAAGTGTGCAGTTTCTCTGTTATAAGAACTGCTCAGTAGTGTTGCAACTGACTTCAAAGTGGATGTGTGGGATTTTTCACACAGGTCCGAAACGTTACCAGATTTGAAGCAAAGCAAAATACTAGATAAAACGGGGGCAAGGTATTGAAGAACTAGAACTGTATATTTGAAGAATAAAAGTTTCCTGCATATTTGATAATTAATGCTAACAACATGCCTTTAATAGTAAAGATTCTTCGATCAATATATTGGTACATTTCTACCTTCAAATGTACAGACAAAACATTGTGGGTGTAGTTGATTTCCATAAAACCGTGTTCGTGCTCATGATAGAAGTCTAGGTTTTGCTGTAGGGAAAAGTATAGTTTGTTTGTTTATAAGACTGGTATGGACACCCATCTTAGGTGTCATAACTCTGGATGGCTAACCTAACAATAATAAAACCAAGACAGCCAATAAAATCAGTGTCCAAAAAACAATTCCTAGCACCCTAAACAGCACTCCCCAACAGTCACAATCGCTGGGCTCCAACCTCAACTTATCCCAATGTTTAAGGGAAGAACCAGCTTTTTAAAGCCTACCAGGAGGCTAGGAGGGTGGGGGCATACTGGATCTCGGGGGGGGGGAAGAGTGTTCCACAGGGCAGGAACCGCTGTGGAATAGGTGTACTTCCTAGGTCCTGCTAGGTAACAACGTTTAAGGGAAGGGACCTGGCATGTACCCACTCTGTCCAGCCTAGTGGAACGGGAAGATATCCTCAGAGAGAGGGAGCCCCACAAATAACCTGGCCCCATGCCACCATGTAGGGCCTTAAATATGATAACACCTTGAATTGGACCCAGAAAAAGAACTCGGATTAAACAGACATTAACAATATTTTATTTGACAATTAAATGCATATGTATTTATTTATGAATTCTCTATGCTTGCCCAAGGGGAATATTGCAGCTTAGGCTGGTATACTATACTGTATAATAAACCAAATTACAGTTACAATTAATAGTATCTCTGTCTTGTTTTTCTTGAATTTTGGTTTATTGACTTACTCCCTCAAACAAGCAAATTAATTATTTTAGTTTTTTTCCAGTTACCAGGGGAGGAAGATTAGCTGATCTCATAAAGCTAAGTGTGTTCAGATCTGGGTTAATACTTGGAAGGGAGATCACCAGAAAATACCAGGGTTGCTAATTAAACTGGGAAACTGGGGGAAAATGCATTCCAGAAGAAGGCAATGATAAACCAACTTGGGTTACTTTTTACTTACTTTGAGTAATCCTGATAACAGAATCTTTATGAAAGGCAACTTTCTATGGGAAAAAAACCTCCAAAATGACTTATGCCTAGTCATGTGACTAAAGTGCAGTGAATGCCCTGACAACTTTCACTGCATGTCCGGTTTCACAAGTTTGTTTTCTTGCTGCTTAACATTTTTTTCTTTCCATTGTCACTTCAATAGGAATGTTACCTCATTCCAGCCAAAAATTTACTTTTCAGTATGTAAAAGTACTGGGAGTATTCAGACAGATTGTTACAACATCTGTGCTCTTTTTACTTGACTGTCAAGTAGACATTTTGAGCGCTAGCATTTTTATTACAAAAGACTTATGGTGACAAATTAGGTTCTGGAGCCACAAATCTTCAAAGCTACTGCTGCAAACTAATAAAAACCCTTAGAAGATGCATAGAATAGTGGTTGGCTCAGAGCTGAGCAAAGGCACATTGTTTGCCTCACGAGGACCAGAAAACGGTGAACAGCTGTCCCAAGCGAAGATTTATATACTTTACCCAACTCAGGCAAGTTTGTCATTTGAGGCAGAAAATCACAAGTGTTCCCCCTGTGATTCTTATTGCTAAGAATACAATAATAATAAATTAAAAATCTAAGAATTTGGTATGTGGGTTTTTTTTTTAAGTGGTTGTGTTCTTGTTTCAGTCATTGTAGGTAGACATCCTGAGTTGCTTTGTTTCCCGGCCATACAGCGTGATTCAATCCTGGAATTAGTTTTCTGTGTACAAATAAAAATACTCTAGCTTGCATATCCTTGTTTTTGTTGTTGTAAAAAAACCACAATTGTGGTGCCCTTGTGGAATAGTTGTGGAATAACTTTAAGCTATGGGCTGTACCTTCAATCTCCTCTTCTTCTCACTTCTTCTAGGTTCCAACTATGTGAGTCCCCGCCCGGCTCACGCCAACATGAACGCCAATGCAGCAACAGGGCTGGCACCTGAGCATATCCCTACTCCGGGTGCAGCCCTCTCCTGGCAGGCTGCCATCGATGCTGCCAGGCAGGCCAAGTTGATGGGTGCCGCTGGCAATGCAACTATATCCACCGCTAGCTCCACACAGAGGAAACGGCAACCGTATGGGAAGCAGAAGAAACAGGGTACCACGACAGCGACACGTCCTCCCCGGGCACTGCTGTGTTTAACACTGAAAAATCCCATCCGGAGGGCATGTATCAGTATTGTTGAATGGAAATATCCTTTTCTGATGTAGTAACGCGGGAGCCAGCAAGTCATGAGGCTGCATCAGGTTTGGTCTGGAAATGTAAATAAGCAGGCAAATTAGGTTGAGGGGAGGCCGATAAAATGGCATAATTTTAAGCCATAGGCTGGGGTTGGTTTCTGTCAGATTTACAACGGGCAAGGCATGCCTCCTTACGGAGGAATACAAACCGTGACAGGATACAGGAGTGTTTCATTGACCACCTTACGCTCAAATATTGTTTCTGTCTTGCTTGGGTAAGGAAATGGGAGATGACCTGATGCTGGGTATGCAAAGAGACATTTTCTGTGACCCTTCCACAATCTGCTCTTCCAATCTTTTATCTGTAACTGAACAATAAACAACTGTTACAAGTACCCAGTTGATCAAATATCACCTTGATCCAGATCTTTAATTTTTTTTTTTTAATTTAAACCAGATTCTGACTTAAACACAAGAATGCATGTGCTCTTTTGGCTCTGAAATTAAATTTCTAGTGAGTGGTATTTTCCTAAGGAAAGTAGGAGGGATAAATAGAAAACCTCACCATCTTACCAGAGTATTTAAAACAAATTTCCTTCAATATTAGGGGAGTTTAAAAATTGACTTGTCATTCATAGTTGTCCTCCAGCATCTCCTTTTTTTCCTCTGCTATCGTTTGATCTTCTGGAGTGGTTTTATTTCTTACTTTCCTTGACAAAAGAGCTCAGCGTTTGGCATCCCATGATGGATGGTTAACTTACGGGGGCCAAGCTCATATTTGTTTATTTGCTTGGCATCTGAGTAACTATGCATCTCTAGGCAATTCACACAAGTAAAGGCCTGATAAATGGAAGAGATTTGTGCTGGCTGAACAGATTGATGTGTTATAAAATAAGAGGGCACAGGAATGAGATCTGGAAATGGTTGAACAATGCATTTAAGTCAGTCTCTGCAGATTGATATTCTTTGGGAAGACACGCAAGAAAGAAACAATTGAAATCCTCCCAGCATCTCAGGAATGGGATCCTATGCCAAATCACATATTTAGAATCATTATGAACTTGCTGCTGACAAATAAAATCCATTTCATGATTATACTGAAATCTATGTAACGGCATTATACAGCTTTCCCCAACCTGCTACCTTCCAGATTCGTTGGGACAAAAACTTCCAGCATTCTTAACCACATTGTTGTAATCCCAATTCACCTGGAAGGCACCAGGCATTTTGTGCAGATGGCCATTGCTTTAGTTAGGAATGGAACATTCTCCCAGTGCTTCTGCTGACCAGATCTTGGAGGAAGAGACATGGTGTGCCTCTGTCATCATGCCCTGCTTGTGAGTTTCCAAAGAGATACCTACTTTGGGATATAAAGTGCTGGAACTCATGAGTCTTTGATCTAATCCCTTCTGCCTGCATTGATCAACCTGATCTCTCTGAGAATCCGGTATAACTTTCTCCAACTTTTTGATACATATGCAGATATAGCGTCACAGATGTAAAACTATTATGAAATGATAAAAACAAGCTTTATATAAAAAATTCTATCTGTCTGTCTGTCTGTCTGTCTGTCTGTCTATCTATCTATCTATCTATCTATCTATCTATCTATCTATCTATCTATCTATCTATCTCAAATCAAGACATAGTGAACTTTCTTGGTATAGTAATTATTTTTTGGCCATTCATTAGCTTACATTTCCTTTTACTAAAAACAAACCTATTTAAGTCCTTTCAAATGTGTTTCTATGAAATTTTTTTTAAAAAAACATAATCTATTTTAATAAAAAGGGAAATAGTTGAACAGAGATTTTGAATGCTTAAGTCATTATGCAGGTCAACATAAAATTATGAACAGGGCATTAGCTATCTAAAAGAACTGGGGCAAACATGCAACTCTGGAATCAAATGTTAATTGCTTGCTTTCTCTAGTTCAGAATGCCCTGCTTTTCCATATTTCAATCTGATCATTAACTATTTTGGAGAAAGCAAAACTGGCACAATCATATACAAGAAGCCTATTTTATTTATTTATTTATCAAATTTGTCACCACCCATCTCGTTAAAGAGCAATTTTTTATACTCTATAGTAAATAAAGCATTTAATTGATTGATTGATTACTTGGGCTTATACACTCCTCTATTGTAAAAGGACTCTGAGTGATTTACATTCCCCACTTCTACGAAGAATGTTAAAAATGAAAATAACAATTGCAGTTATAGTTACAAAAACTTCAGCACTTGAGAAACAATTGAGTATCAAACAAAAATTCACAATAGAGGTGGGTGGGATGTCACAGTTCCTAAGGATTTGGCTCCTAAAACTTAACAGGGTAGGAACTAATCTGATCTCAGAATTAGATATAAATATACATATGTTTTGTTAATATAAATATAAAATATGGCATAGAAAAACAAGGATATGTCAGCATAGCAAACCTATATATGAAGTACTATTAACACTTATTCCCCATGTAGTCCTTTCTCTTTTCATCATATGTTTATTTGCAATGTTCAGTGATATGGTATACAAATAATTAAAAATCCTATTTGAATCATCAGTCAGATTCAGAAAATTGATCTAGTTCATATTAATTTGGAAAATTATTCAGGTCCGCTCAGCCTTGAAACTGAATTGTTGAATCAGTTTTGTTCTGTATGGATTTCCTAACTGATTAAGGAAAAACCTTCGTGCACATTCACAAAAGCATTCAACTTGTTTGAATTGATGCAGAACCACATAACTAGATTCAGAAATCAATTCAGTTTGGAGATTTGATCAAATCACCCTTACTTTGAATCTCTGCATCAAATATTTGCATCAACCTAATTGTTGCCATTTCCAGATCTGGGTAGGTTGCTGCTTTGATATATTGTTTTCCATGTGAGGTTGTCTTCATACAGTTCTATTTCCAGAAGCTGCCACACTACAATTTGTATTTGTGCATTGGACCTTAAAGTATAAAACACAATCCTATAGGGAAGAAAATTATATTTGAACTTCTGCAGTGCCAGACACTTTGGTTTTACCCATCTCTACTCTACAGGAGCAACTACAGAAAAAAACAATACAGGTCTGGAGAGGGGAAACCAAATCAAATTTTGACAGAGCTAGGTTTTTCCAATTAAATGCAAATATTCTGATATAAACAATGAGAAAAGCAAATGGGGCCAAGTAAAATATTTCAGGGACATGCTGCTATCTCTTGCTTTGCACTGGATGCATCTTCCCTACCATCATGCAAACAAATTAAACCAAAGGGGAAAAAGAGGATAGAGCAGGCCTACAACATAGAATAAGGTCATAAACTATTACCTAGTTCCAGAATACAGGACGTGCAATGCAACCAGGGAGCCAATCTGTATTTTTACAGGTTAGATGTGCCCTTTAAAGTGACCTTGCCTGTGTAGATATGCAAAAACTTCTGAGATGAAGTTTTTTTAAAAAAATAAATCCTGACCTTTAAAAACTCCAGAGCTTCTTTGAATATTCCTTCTTTAAATGTATTTTCCAAACACGACAGAAAGAAGACCTAGAGAGACCCAAAGAAGACCAAAGAAGACAGAAAGAGAGTTTTAAATGTTGCTTATTCTGAAGAAACAGTTTTTCTTAAATGATAGATGAAGATGAAACTGTATTGCAAATGCAGTTAGAAAGTAAGAGATGTAGTTGGAGGCGGTCTGTCTGCTCAAAACAGCACAGCGAAGATGGAAATAAATAAATTTCAGCCTAAATTAAAAAAAAACAAACCTTAAGAAGTCTATGTGCACTCTGGCACGCGACTGACCTACAGTGTTTTTGACATATTAGGGAGAAACTTGGCTGGGAGAGCGAAAAAGCACTTTAAAGGCATGTGTTTCTTTTCAAAATACAAAGGATTACAAAAGTCTTCTCTAAACAGAATTCTTTTTGCCTTCTTTTTTCTTCCAGTGTAATTGGCTTATACGATTAAAGAAACCAACTATCTTCCTTAACTCCATTCCTCAGACCATTTGAAATTATTATTTTACTGACTATTTTTGCCAATTGTGTGGCCTTAGCTATCTATATCCCCTTTCCAGAAGATGATTCCAATGCCACCAATTCCAATCTGGTAAGTCCTTGTTTATGCTTACTACTTTATCAGAAAAAAAGAGCTTACTCAGAACTCAAGAAGAAGGCAGTTGAAAGATTGAAATGCCACATGCTCATATTGTAACCCAAGATGCATGGAATTTGGGCAGTAAAGTCTTGGATTGTTTGTAATTTGGATTAAACCTTACTTCTGGGTATGTGTTGTTGGAACATTCCCTATGTTCTATATATGTCTTCGAGCAATCTATTTGATGTATGGTAATGGGTTTTTTTTCTTCTTTTGCGTGAAATGTTTTCTCTAAATGCAGCGGTAATGCCATTGTTTCAGTATGGGCTATGCTTATTACAAGAGCCAAAAAAAAGAAGAAGAAGAAGAAGGAAAACATATTTGCATTTCAATTTTCAAATATGTACTGTAAAAGAAACACAAGGGTTAGACAACTGGAATGCAGGACATTATACTAGGAAAAACATTGGCTTTATCCTCTCCCAAAAGCAATTGTGTGGATTTGAATCTGCTAATGCTAGAACAGGAACATGTGAAAAACTGAGTTTGTATTCTTTTCAGTATTTAAATGTTATAGGGAAGATTTTTCTGAGACTGGAGAAGCCATGTCATTGCTTCACTCACCCAAAGGAAATATACTGGGATGGAATTGATTGGCAGTGAATTGAAAATTTCTAGAGGGATAGTACTTCAAAATAATAATTGCCTTTCTAAAACTGAGGCTGTTGGGCATCGATACCCATTCTTCAGGCACTGGTGTGTATGATAAAGTACCTTTATAAAGTAATTCCTTCTCAGCAAAAGAAAAAAAAAAGGTTCCAAAAGCTAGTTTGAAAATAAATCTTAGATAACAAGTTTAAAGTTGTGGCTGTATTTAAAGCAATGGCTTGGAGAGAAAAATTGGAGGAAGAATGAAAGACTTGTAGGCCAAATAAAATATTTGTTAAGGATTTCCTCATCGCAGGAAACAAATATATTTGTGATTTGGTCCAAGTAATATCCAACTGTCTTTGTGATGACTATTAGAAAGACAAGATAAACTACTGGAATAATAATGTCTGTTCAGATTTAATTCTGTCAGTAAGGCAAATGTTAAACATTCATGTACAAATACAGATCACTGTGATATGGAAATAGGATCTGCTAAACAAAAACAATAACTTACTGATGTATATTGTAAACTCTAAAAAAATCAGAAAGGAAAATAAGTTAATAAATTTGTTCTTGGATATACTGAAAACAACAGGTGACTGGTTGTGGGCATATCATGGGCAATTTTTTTGTTGCATTGATTGTGGGAAATTGCAGAAGACTACATTATTAATGTGATTATGATAATAATTATATGAAAATGTTTAATATGTGTTTAAGAGATGTTTCATTTATTTAGGGCTATTGTATCTAGGCTGCAAAAATCCAGATGACAAGTAGATGGCAGCAAAGATATAGTAAGAGTAACCCTTTGTCGCCATCTAGTGGCTGCCTGGAACTTATCAGCCAAGATGTAGAAGTCCAAACTGCAGCAGTCCAGAAGTTGCCAGGGAAAGTATTGTAACACTTTTAAAAGTGTTGGGAAATGTACAAAGATAGCTTGAATGGTCTCTGACATTTATTATTATTATTATTATTATTATTATTATTATTATTATTATTATTTTATCCCGCCTTTTTTATATATAACTCAAGATGGCGAACATACCTAATACTCCTGCTTCCTATTTTCCCCACAACAACAAACCTGTGGGGTGGGGTGGGTTGTTGTTGTAAACAACCTTGTATCAGCGGTAGTGGCTGCCCATTTAATACTGATAAAGTCCTAATGATTTGGGCCACAATATCTGAAAGGCTACTTCCTCCTGTTGGAAGCTGCCTGTAGCTGGCTTTCTTGGTTTGTATTAACCAAGTTTCTCTTGGTGATGAGACAGATAAACTTGGTTAATAGAAACATGGGGTGTGTTTTCCCTCTAGTGCCATCTCCACAACCTCACCACCCCAATTATGGAACTTAGGTTCCTGGGCAAGTCAGATTGACATTTTTCTTCATTTACTTTTAAGTAGATGTTAAAATATTCTGGTTTCCCATGGACTTTTTGATACAAAATGTGTTCATTGTTCTCTCTGTTTTTAAAATTATTCTTACTTTTTCTTAATGCTGCTGTGTGGGAATTTTTAAATTTTTTAAATTGCTTTACATTAAACCGTTGCCTTGAGAAGCTTCGCTGGCTGCCAGACAATTCTGACAAATAAGAAACACTGTTTTAAATGAAGTTTTAAGTTCAACTACATGGGATAAACCACATAGAAAGGGAGGGAAGAAAATACCAAGTTACATATACCGAGAACAAGCATGCATTTCATGGGTAGGAAGGTATTTGATGTGGGCACTGTATGTTTTTCAGAGGCTGAAATGTTTTTTTCCAATTCTGATAATGGGCGTGTAGATGCATGTGTAAAGTTTCTATAGGTGATTCTTTCGGTCTGCCTACTTGTCAGATTCTTGTTGTGTATTAGAGTTGCTGTCAGACAGCTATCATCCATTTTTCTGCTAGAGAGAAGGGAAGCAAGCTGCAGTTACTTTCTACTCAGAGTTCCCATTAGCTGAGTGTCAGGTATTTTATTCATCTTTGAAACGCGCTGGGTGAGACGGTAGGTTTGGTTGAGATAGAGAAAGCTGCTTTAGAAAGGCTGCGTCCTGCAGAGATGGAAATCAAATGCACTTGGGAAGAAGAGCCATTTCAGTGGAGAAAATTACCTTCAGACAGTACTAAATATGGTACTCCTACCACTACCACGGGGCGAAATATTGTGGCTCCACTCCAGATTGCAGATTTAGGCACGCAGGGAGAAGTTTTCCTTTCTCTTCTGAGCAGCAGCAACCCTATGTGGAATCAAGTAGTTTTTAAAGATTAACTTGTAACCCAAAGAGAATTTCCCTGCTGTGAAATGCTTAGTTAGACAGGAACAAAAAGAACAAGGTTTTGCCTCTTGATACATAGGTAAATTTATATATGCATGAGTAGAGCTCCTTAGATGACAGCCTGTTTACTGGCACAATCTGTTCAGCGTTCATCACAACTGGGTCCAAAGGATGTATAGTATGATCTCAATTGATTTTCTTCAGTGATTCGTAACTTACTTACTTTGTGTATGCTGGATGGCCATCTTAATTGGGACTGGCAACTCCATTGCTAAGTGACATGGTCACTAAGTGAAACATCATGTGACTGCAACAGACTTACGATGTCACTTACACTGTGGTCATCAAGTGACTCATCTTGGTCATTAAGCAGACATCATATGATGTCTGCAATGGTCATAAATGCCTGCCGGTCACAAAGTGCCCAAATGTCGATCACGTGACTGTGGGGATGCCACACAAGTCAGAAATGAGAGGAACAGTCATAAAGTTACTTTTTCAAAGCTGTCATAACTTCAAATGGTCACTAAATGAGGTGGTTGGTAAGCAAGATCTACCTGTAATGTGATTCCATATTGAGCAAAATATTTTATGGGTACTGATAAGAATACATAGAAAGCTCTCTCACACAATGGATCCATCTAAAGCTTCATCCAAGAATATTTCCTGTTTTAATTAGAAATTCAGAGATTGATTCTTGTACATGCAAATTGCATGTTTGGTCATTGAGTTATGTTTATGGGTCCTTCCCTAAACCAGTATTGAGTGAATGTGAATATAATCGGTATTCTATATTGGATTGTGAAGTTGTGGATCCAATAGAAAAACATAAGATAATCTATCCTTAATGAAAGGCCTTCAAGAAATATTACTGGTTTGTGCTATGATGGGATGTTTCAAAATTAATTTGGACCTGGTAAAGTTGTTCACCTGAAGCAGTGCTGCAGTCAGAACTATTGATATGTTTTCTACAAATTTTTGAAGCGAACTGAAAAACTATCCTATGCAATTTTTGTCCCTGAGCTGTAAAGTAGGAACCCAGTATAGAAAATCAAGAGTGCTGTGATGATTGTTGGATTGGGTGAAATCTGGAGGGTGAAAGAATTTCATTTATAGATGGATTTTGCAGGAGAGGGAGAATTGGCCATACTTACACTACAGAAGAGGAAGGAGATGAGCAGTTGAGTGGGAGCAGAAAGAACAGGCATGGTTAAAGCTAGAAAAAGCCAAGGAAGTCTTGCTCTCAAAGGAAATGTGCTCAGGGGAATGCTTTGCCTGCATGTAACCCCCTTCAAATTGCTTAATTTGGAGGCCCTTTGTTAGTACAACAACAGGGAAATTTATTCAAAAGCTTTACTGTAATTCGAGGGCCTCTCCAGATAATAATTTTAGTACAAATTATGTGCAGTTGCTACACTTTGAAGGTGTGGGGAACTAAGACATTTTACCACAAACTAGTAATACTGTTACCTAACCCCCCCCCCACCCCCATTAGTAGCCATGGGATTGCACTTCTCCCCCCCCAGCAGAACTAACAGCAGTGTGAGTTTGGAATTTTGCAAGTTGAGGGCCACCACGTTGGAAAAAGCTGATCTTTTGGGGAAAACCAGTTACTTAATTATGAAGTGATAAGAATCTTTCTTTTTCTCATGATCACACCATTTTATGTACCCTAAAGAAATCATTATTTTGTTATATAATCTTTAAAGTCTGATTTTGTATGGAACTAGGACATGTACTGATATAACACTTGTTCCCTTAAAGTATTCAGCCTTCAAACTCAGAATTATGTTTCAATTTTTGCTCCAGCATCCATTTTACAGAAGACAGACTGATGTCAAAGGACTTCGGGAAGAATAGAAGACAGTCATTATAGCCATCATTCCTGTGCTATCAACTATTAGTCACTTCATGCACTACAGTTTTCACTTAGAGTGTGTAAGTAGAAGTAGATGCCTTGTTTTTTAAAAATTAGATCTTTATTTTAAATACATTAGGCATCTAAAGTTGGTACCATACTATGTGCTAAGCCCTGCTTTTTTAACCATGGTTTGTTGAATAAGTGGCTGGCTTCACACATCATGCTAATACCAAA